TAACTCTTACTATATAATTTATTACTTTCAGATTGGAAGATAAAGGTGTTTGAACTTAGTGAGGAATTAAAATGTCCAGTGACAACATTACAACAAGCTTGTACATTGTTTGTGCAAGCTTTACTATCAGCATCTCTAACAGATGTAAATAACCTATTCTGTTTAGCAGAAATAGTGGTCATGTGTTTTAGATCTAGTGATGTAACTAAAGACAGTAACAAAACTTGGTAATGACAATAAACGATGCTCTTGTGGTAAATATATAAAGCTAAAGCAAATGAAAATCTACTACAGTTGACAGAAAATGACAGTTTTCTATTTGACTAGAAAAAATGGTACTTAAACTGTGAAAAATGTCCACTTACAGAATGCTATAGGAGGAATGTGGATGAAGTGGTGATTGAACAGCTTTTAACAGTTGGCATAAATGCCTTACAGACTGCAGTTTTGACTGCATGCTCAGTGCTGAAAATTGGACAAGTTGTTGAAAATTTGTGATGTACTAATTGATATGAATTGCCTGTGTACTTTGAATTCTAAGACAAATTTATACTCTTGTTTGTTACAAATGTAGCAGGTTTCTCAGATATTATTGTTTTCCTCTCTGTTTACATGATGTAGATTTATAGTATATATAGATTTTATTAATACTTGGTAAAAAACATTATGACAAAACCTGTATATTGAATACTAAAATATGACATTGACCTTTATTGATTGACATTGAACATTAAGGTCAAATTATTGAGTTTTCTGAAATTGTCTTAACTTTATTATCTAATTATGAATTTGATTCTTTCTTGGACAAGAGAGCACTTATGATAGGTAGCTAAATATAAACAAAGTAGTTACATGTATTTTGATTTCCATACAAAATGCTCATTCACTATGATTTATACCCATTGCCAGACAGAGTAAAAAAAATGTGGCAAATGAGTATTTTTTTGGGAAACTGTAACAAGATACCAAAAATAAAATGATTTTGAGAAATAGAAATAATATCATTTCTGAGGCAAAAATGGGCATTTAATTCAAAATGTGAAACTTCAATTTGAATGACCTTGACTGTCAAGGTCATTTATTTGTTTTGTAGAGGGTTCTTTTACTATAATATTCTTCCTCTGATGTGTTTGACTTTGGAAATAATGAAAAAGTTGAATGTGGCCCTTGCTAGGGAGTGGTTGTTGTTTTTTGTCTGCTGTATTACTAGTACTAGTATGTTAAATGTTTATTAACAGAATATTTAGACATGTTTATTTATATGCCTTAATGAATGACATTTATCAAAATACAGATATATCTGTTTGTTCCCTTAATTGTAATAAAGAAGTTATCAAAAATTAAGTTGTATGATTTTCTTAAGCCTGATTAAGGCGGTGATGTGATGTAATGAATGGAGGTGCCTTATATAATCCTATTCTTCATATATACCAGTAGAAATATGGTGTTAAATGCTGCAAAATCAGTCCTTCATTGCATGTAACATGTAAACTATTATTACTTGAATTGTAACTACTAACTATTTTACTTTTCATAAAATCTTGGTTCATTTTACTAAAGGTAGATATTTTGAAATTTTATGGCTCATGTGGTGCAGCTAAATGTTTTTATGCCCCCGGGCAGAGATTTTTCTCACTTAATTGGGAAGAGGCCTTAGCCTCTTGATTTTGGGATAAAATATCGCTAAAATTGCTAATTTGGGAAGTAAAAAAGCAGGTTTAAGGAAAACTTCATGATTTTAAAGAAAATTCCAATTGGGAAGAGGCCTTTTATCGGAGTCTGTGATATAAGCAGGAAAATCACTGCCGGGCATATAGTAATTGAACCGTCCGTCCGTCTGTCCGTACGAGGTTAACCTAGAACGGCAAGTTGGATTTTTCTTAAGTTCTACCTGTACCAATGGCTTCTAAGTTTACACACTTACTAATCAATACAAAGTACATGATCTGGGAAAGTTACATAACTCTGGCTTTTATATTTACCAAGTTACTGCCCTTGTCAGCACTTAAAAAAATGAATAATGGTTAACCTAAAGCGGCAAGTTGGAAATATCTTAAGTCTATCTAGACTAATGGCTTTATAATTTCCACACTTACTTATCAATACAAAGTACATGATATTGCCAAGTTATATAACTGTGTCATCCATATTTCCCAGTTATTTCCCTTTTTTCACTTTGAAAAATAGGGCCTTGTCTGGTTAACCTATTTCGGCAAGTTAGATTTATCTTAAATTTCTCATAATTGCTTAATTTCTTTTAATGATATCTTTCATATTTAGTAGGTGGATACTTTGATGGTCCTCTAATTTTTTGCGGTCTCTAGGGTCAAGGTCAAGGTCACTGGTTTAAAAAATAAATATAAACATTTTTGCTCATACAGCCTTTATTTTTAGTTGATGTCTTAGTTTAATACAAACATGCCAAGGGAGGTCTTCCTTCTTGGGTGTAGTAAGGGGTCCATTCGGGTCAAGGTCAATGTTACCAATGTCAAGGTCACCAATGTTAAAAATAGATTTTGACATTTTTAACAGGTGTATTGACCTTATTCTATAGACATGTTATTTATAATTTATAGAAACATAAACTTTGATGGAGTTAGTGGTCAGTTGGGTCAAGGTCAATGTTACCAATGTCAAGGTCACCAGTGCTAAAAATAGATTTTTACACATTTGCTCATACAGCCTTTATTAAGTGACAGATATATTTTTAGCTCACCTGTCACAAAGTGACAGGGTGAGCTTTTGTGATCGCTTTTCGTCCGGCGTCCGGCCGTCCGTAAACTTTAACTTTAATTGACATCTCCTCATAAACCACTAAGCCAATTTTATACAAACTTCACAGGAACATTCCTTTGGTGGTCACCTTTAAAAATTGTTCAAAGAATTTAATTCCATGCAGAACTGTGGTTACCATGGCAACAGAAAGAAAAAACTTTAAATATCTTCTTTTAAAAAAACCAAAGAGCTAGAGCTTAGATATTTGGCATGAAACATCTTCTAGTGAGTGTCTACCAAGTTTGTTCAAATAAAAGCCCTGGGGTCAAAATTGGCCCCGTCCCAGGGGGTCATTGATTTTCCCTATATGCTTATAGTAAAAACTTAGAAAATCTTCTTTTAAAGAGCTAGAGCTAAGATATTTAGCATGAAACATCTTCTAATGAGTGTCTACCAAGTTTGTTCAAATAAAAGGCCTGGGGTCAAAATTGGCCCCGCCCCAGGGGGTCATTGATTTTCCCTATATGCATATAGTAAAAACTTAAAAATCTTCTTTTAAAGAACTCAAAGAGCTAGAGCTAAGATATTTAGCATGAAACATGTTCTAATGGGTGTCTTCAAAGTTTGTTCAAATAAAAGCCCTTGGGTCAAAATTGGCCCGCCCCGGGGGTCATTGATTTTCCTTATATGTGTATAGCAAAAACTTAAAAAAATCTTCTTTGAAAAAACCCAAATAGCTAGAGTTTAGATATTTAGCATGAAACATCTTCTAGTGAGTGTCTACAAAGTTTGTTCAAATAAAAGCCCTGGGGTCAAAATTGGCCCCGCCCCGAGGGTCATTGATTTTCCTTATATGTGTATGGCAAAAACTTAAAAATCTTCTTTGAAAAAACCCAAATAGCTAGAGTTTAGATATTAAGCATGAAACATCTTCTAGTGAGTGTCTACAAAGTTTGTTCAAATAAAAGCCCTGGGGTCAAAACTGGCCCCGCCCCAGAGGTGTCATTGTTTTTAATTATATGTGTATAGTAAAAACTTAAAAAATCTTCTTTTAAAAAACCCAATGAGCTAGAGGTAAGATGTTTAACATGAAACATCTTCTTGTGGGTGTCTACCAAGTTTGTTCAAATAAAAGCCCTTGGGTTAAAATTGGCCCTGCCGGGGGGAGGGGGAGGGGGGCGGTGCAGAGGTCATTGTTTTTCATTATATGTGTGTAGTAAAAACTTAACATCATGAAACATCTTCTAATGGGTGTCTTCCAAGTTTGTTCAAATAAAAGCCCTGGGGTTTAAACTGGCCCCGCTCCGGGGGCCTATATACAGGTGAGCGACCTGATGGCCCTCTTGTATATTTGGTATGAAGATAACTTGCATGGTATTCATTCTTTTGATTGGGGTAGGGATCAGTGGGTCAAGGTCACTTGTGCTAAAAATAAATTTTTACACTTTTGCCCATACAGCTTTTATTTATTGACAGATGTATTTCATATTTGGTAGGAAGATAACTTGCATGGTATTCTTCCTTTGGATGGAGTAAGGGGTCAGTTTGGTCAAGGTCACCAGTGCTAAAAATAGATTGTAACACTTTTGCCCATACAGCCTTTATTTATTGACAGATGTATTTCATTTTTGGTAGGAAGATAACTTACATGGTATTCTTCTTTTGGATAGAGTTAGGGGTCAGTTTGGTCAAGGTCACCAGTGCTCAAAATAGATTTTTACACTTTTGCCCATACAGCCTTTATTTGATGACAGATGTATTTCATATTTGGTAGGAAGATAACTTGCATGAAGTTGAATATTTTGGGTTCGATCCCCGGGAGATGCTTTGGTAGTTTAGCACGGAGGAAGGTAGTCTAGTACTGGTGAAACTCTCCAGGAACGATGGTTAGGAAACTACCTGCCTATATGACTGAAATACTGTTGGGAAAAGGCGTAAAATGAAACAAACAAACAAACAAATTGAATATTTTTCAACTTCACAAGTCAGAGCAATGACTTGGCAACTTATATTTTTCACAATTACAAAATGCCATGACTTTGTCAAGCTATATAACTTGTGTTTACAATTTTTTGGCAATTTTTCTGTCCATAACTGAGTGAATGGGTAAACATTTTTTGAAATATTGTTACTGACAAGAATCTGAGCCGGGGGCAGTTGTGTTTAACAAACACGTTCTTGTTTTATTTACAAATTCAATTTCCACATACATTGTAACTTTGTACAAATATTGAGAAGCAATACCCATGACTAAAATTCATTGAGAACATAAAAATTTGCACCTCTGTCCGCAGTTCTTGTTCAACCATTTCAGTTTCTTTCGCGGAAAAGTGAGAAAACATACCACAACACATTAACTTTATTTTGTATTTGAACATTTATCTACAAATATTTACTCATATAATTCCATTAATTGTTTATATTAGAGTATTTTGGACACTGTGTCACTCAAACATATTTCTAAATAAGGCAAAAGTTATTTCTAAAAAGTGGGTAAAACTTCATTATCACCAAGTGTACATCTGACCCATTTGTCTTTATGCACTTTCGAAGAACCATTTTAAAGACCAGCCTTGTGCACTTCTAACTACTGTCAGTAAACTTTTAGACCGGCATACAAAAGTTCTTCAAAATTTATTGCACATTCAAGTTATCCCAATCCAAAACGGCGGGTAGAAATCGTCTTTAACAAAATATTTGCTTATTTCCGACCCAGGTTTCGGATATCCATTAAAATAAATAACTGATCCTCCAGCGAGCCAGCCTCCCCACCAGCCAAATGTTCCAACAGATATTATCATATGATCACATAGTGACATTGCAGCAAGGTCGTATCCAGGCTGTGTGTATGGGCTGAAAACAACTTTGTGACCGTTGTGTTGGAGATGGCCTTGACACCAGTTTATATCATTTGAAAACACGTAAAATGTAGCATTCTTGTAGTTCAAGCTGTACATCTCCATCGCCTTCTTATAATAATCTGAAAGAATACTTAAATTGTTTTGATTTGGTTCTGTATCTTTAATTAAAGCATAAAATATACAAGCATTGATGAACGATCATTAAAGCCGACAATCGTTGTCGTGGTGGAAGTATTCAACAAACTAAACTCTTGTGCTTTTGTGAAAGAAGGCACAGAACTTCTGCATCTGTTGGATTTCATCTCGGTTAGAAATGTTCCAAGTAAGAACAAAAATATATGTTATTTAAACCAAAGTTGTTTTCTACTTGGTAAATTACCAAGATAACAATTCTCTGTCATCGTCATACCAGAAAGTTACGTCATCGTTTGTTATCATCATATTTCTTCATGTTGGCTTTAAAAATTGTTTTAAACTGTTGAAATTTTACTTTGTTCTGATATAAATAGCAACATTTTAGGTTGGTCGATATAATCATTTAGAACATCGATATATACAAGGGATGATTGATAAATTCGCGGAATTGCTTTATTTCTGATAAAAAATCACCGATTCCTTAACTCAAGATTGCCATACAATTCAAATATTATTTATATACACAAAACAATTATATTAAAATATCACGTTGGTCATTTGCTGGCGTTAAAGTTGACAGTATTAATTCCGAAAATGTGCAATAACTGCACTAACATAGTTGCTTTGGAAACCATTTTTTTTAAGTATTAAATATCCATTTACCTACCTAATAATTAAAGAGAATAATAAGCTTTGTTACGTCTACATTAATTTTCACGCGGTTTGATGAAGAAAATATTTTTTGACAGAATTCCCCAATTTTATCAGTTAACCCTCGTATTTAACTATTTAAAAAAATGCTATTGCACAGTGTATGTTTTGAAAAAAAAAACTGGTACACGTACCTTCCTCTGGTGTAATACGCCCTAAATTAATATGATAATCGCTTAGAAAATCCCCTCTTCTTACGTGTATACCAATTTTAACTGTATTCGATGGAGCACTTTCATCAATAAATCGTCTTGCTTCTGCCATTATATCGCTCTTAAATGTAAATAATTTTCTCAAAACGTTTTGGATCTTCCAAAAGTACTTAAAACTTTGTAAGTACCCGTCCAATGTCCAGTTCATATCACCTTTCAAGAATGACAAGTCAGAATATGTCGTGACATCACACTCTTCATGTGTAGATATATTCGATTCCTGGTACTTCAAAGATTCGGACAAATCTATTGTTATTTTCGTAGGATTTGGCATCTCAAAAACCGGATAAATGTCGAAATTTGTAAGTGGGATAAAAGGACGATAGTTGAATTTATCTGCAATGCCTAGCACACTGGCTATTTGAAACATCTGGTTACCAAGTCGTCCTTTAGCTGGATATACAGTCAACCATTTTCCTTGCTTCGTATTCTTGTCTATTTTATCTCCTGAAAGGAAATTCCCTTGTATATAAACCTTGTCGTATGTCTTTAATTTTACGCCGCTGAAAACATTGTTTTCATGACGGAATTGTGGTTTATCGTTATTATCAACCATCAATTCACTCATATTGTATTTAACTGAATTATCATCTAACGACAATATCTCTTTGAAAGCAGATTTCGATTTAATTAGAATTTTTGGTAGAAAACAAATCGTGAAAGATATGTACGCAAGAAACACCCATTTGTACACGATATAATACTTTTTTCTCATTTATTTAGTCATAAACTTAGAATTGTAAATGAAAGAATGAGCCGAAACGGTAACAATTTGTTGAATTTTGAATATCTTTGCTTTTACATTTCAATCAAAATTTCACATTCCCATATGGTATTCAAACCCTTTTTTTTGTTATCAGTAAAACTGACGTTTACAAACACAAAAAAAGTTAGACAAATCGAAATATGGAACAGTCAACACGTAAACGTCCCTTTGACTGTTCACGAATAGTTTATAACCTATATACACATACTTAAAATTTGTGAGTGTACTTTAAAATCCTGTACAAGACACAATTCAGCTAACGAGATAGATTTAATATCATACAGGAAGAAAACGTTATTAACACCATCACGGTGGTTTTTGACTTGTAGAAAAAAAAACCCACAAAATAGTCAAGTCCACGGATAGTTCATAAATAATACAAACGCATATTTTAAGGCATTTGTAAATGGAGAAAATTGTTATTTGTGTGTGTACATTTTATTATGTAATAGTAAGCCCCATAGCAAATCAAATTAATTTACACAATAATTTAGTTTAATTATTATATTCGTTATCTGATAACTGGGCTAGCTTAAGGGGCAAAGTATGTAGAGGGAAATAAAAGTTAAAACAAATTCCGTTGAAAAAGAATATAACATTTTCCTTATTAGATTATGGTTATATATTTTCTATGAACAATATTAAAACTGACTAACTTAAATTATCAACATCGGGGTGGATGTGGGATATCTACATGTAGGCCTATTTCTTCATGACATTCGTGATATCACTCCCTCCCATATACAAGTAAACTATTCCATAATCAACAGAACAGTCTCTAATGGTCTAATACCATGCTTAAATTTAATGTTTATCCTGAGACAGAAAGATATACATTATTATTATTAGTCCCAGGTTTATCTGGCTGAGTAAATTACCAAATCTATATATTATTTATGACAACTTCGCCAATAACTTTACTTTTAAAATAAAAATAACAAGCACGTTAGTTTAAATATCTAGTAGCAAATGTATGGACCAGTGACAACGTCCTGGTCTACTAATCCAGGATTTTCAGGTTCGATCCCTCGCTTCACCAATAACAATACTAATGGTCTTTCTAATTAGATCTCCAAAAACTAAATTCCCATACATCGGGCACCAGAACCAGGATCGTCTTTGGAACGGCAGTGCGGATACACTTCGACTAATTCCAGGGCGTCACTGATAGTGGCAACCGAAATGCGGCAGTCGTATGTATGTTTCTGATCATTTATCATACACGTATCTCATCATTGTACAACGTATTTAATATATTCACCCCTAATGAACGATTCTTGCTCTCTGATACCATATGATAGTATTGTAAAACATAATGCGGATTCCGTAAAATTAATTATAATTAATCATTTTCATCAAAATACTGTAATGAAATTCTCAAGCGCAATACCCACAAATTAAAGTTAAAAAAATCAACATTATCTATTTATCATTTGAAAATTTCATTTTAAGTATAACTTTTCTAAATTGAACATCTGGAAAAATGGGAGTGCAAGTCTACAGTATACATATATTTGTGATATGTTTATCCTCATGGGCTTTTCAGCCTAATGGAATGTTGAATTAACTTCTTCTTCGTGTACATGTACACTGTACATGTAGACCTGTGTGAACCGTAATGGGAGCTATACGACAATAGAAAAAGATATTGTATTGTATTGACAGTAGTAAAATGTCTTGGGAGCGAAAAGTGCTTACATATGTGGTTCACTCCAAGTGATAGGGATGAGTTTAGTGCTCTAAGTCTTTCCTTTACTTAGCGTAAAAAACATTATCTATGTTTGACGAAATACGGTAATGTACTGTAGCACGGGAATTAGACAAACCGATCTTTGACGAAATACGGTAATGTACTGTAGCACGGGAATAAGACAAATCAAATACAACAACAACAAATATGGCATCCTCCAACGAAAACGAAATTGTTTACTCAAGAAATCATCGTTGCAAAGCTTTACTGAAAGAAACTGACTTAAAACCTAATGACCATCCTTTGCATTTGATTATTTCTAGGAAATCTGCATCTTCACTTGGCATTTCAGCGGATGACAACCAAATATATTTGTCGTTATGGACGAACACGAAAGTTTCTCAAGAAATTATGACACACCCACCTGGGAAAAGTCAGGGATGCATATTTCAAAGAATGTTATCAAATAGCCAAAATTTCCCCGAAATTCTTGTACCTGAATCAGATGAAGGTAATGTAGATGTGGAGGATATGACAACTGGTTTAGATATTGAAGTGTTTGTCACTGTTAGGGTCAGAAATGAGGATGTGGAAGAATCAAGTGAATATGATATAACATTGACTTGTAGTCAGCAGTTTCTTACCCATTACAATATAGAGAATACAACAGTCTTTGTCCGTCCAGTCAAATTATATCCAGTTAGTAACGTTGTGCTTGGTGTAAGTAGTCATGAAACCTTTCAGTGGCTTACAAACAAAAAGTTTTGCAGTCGACTATTATTAGAGATTCAGTCAAACTCGGTACTGATTAGGACAAAGGATGTTTTCCTTTCTTCATATGGGAACTTCCTTGAAGATCCTGATTTCAAAAGAAATTTTTATTTTGACATATTTGTTCTTGAATGCTCACCAGTTCAGCAAGGTTTAATTACATCAAAGACAGAATTTGTGTTAACTTATCTTGGAGATTTAGCAGCAGAACAAGAACATTTTAAGTCTAAAATGGAATCCCTAGTGTCAAATCCTAGACAGGGTGACCGCATGATTACTGGACCATTTAAGGATATTCTTATGTCAGACTTCAGCTTTGCTGTAAATCCTAACTATCTAAGTCCTGAAATAGACCTGGATGAACCAGATTCAATGCCAAGCTTTAAGAAAAAAGCAAATGCCATACAAAATTGGAAAAAGAAATCTAGAAGTGAAATAGTTGGACATTTTGAATATGAAGTTGTTCCTCAGCAGCCACTTTTTAGAAGAATGTTATGGAGGGAAGAAAAAGTACAAAATTTTGATCCCTTATACTTTGTTGGAATGTCACGAAAGCAAATGATCAAAGAAGGTCTATTTGATAGTAGTTATGTGTTGATATCACCCGAGTATTATAATGATGACTGTGATGATGACAAAACATATTCACGGATAGAAAGACTTTGTATGGTTAGATGCTTAGGGAAAGAGTATGACAAATCAAGGCGACTTTTCATATCCCCGTTATGTCTTTTCAACATGCAGAATAAACCACCAATAGAGCTGCCTATTTCTTTAATAATGAAGGTTTGATTATTATCATACTTAATTTACACTGATGAATTGACAGTTAAGATTTGCTTTCAGAACTTAATACAAATTGTAAAATACTTCTAGGAATTACTGTGAATTCATAATTGTTTGTGTAAAATTTACCTTTTACATGCTATCTTTTTTGTTTCTCTTTGATTAAAATAGTGAAAGTTTTTCTGATCGCACACTTACTGATTCTTTAGCTAGATATAAACAAAGTCTACTTGTGTACAATTGTAAAAAATGGAGTCAAAACAACATAACAAAAATTTGTAACTAAATGCTTAATGTACATGATAAAATTTATTGTAACAAGTCATAAAGCCCTCATGTACATGTATCAGGGGGCTTGCTTTTCTATTGCTTTCCTAAAACAGTTCTCCCATGGTGTGAAGTTGTTGATACAAAGAAGTGTATTTACTTATAGTAAGCTAAGATATCATAACTTAACTTACTAGACGG